TGTGTGTGTGTGTGTATGTGTGCGCGTGCGCTCAGGAAAGGAGGATGTGACACTTTGAAAGAAACTGTGGCATACCTCGAAGTAACAAAAAAAAAAAAAAAAAAAGGCAAAACATTCACCACAATTCTTGATTTTAATACCGCTTGGAATGTTGTCGTTGTCTTGGAATCTGTCAGCAGTGCACAACACCGGTGTTGAGTCGACGGGAGGGAAAGGGGGGACGGGGGTGGGGGGAGTGTGAAAGGAACTCATGAATTTCACACCGAGCGCGCATGCTCCATCTGCGATAGGTCTTAAGTGACATCACTTTGTATTTCTCGCACGTAGTTGCTATGGATGGCGCGAGTCACGTGTGTGACTGTGGGCGGCCTTTTATGTCATTACGGACGATGAACTCACACCGAGCGCGGGCATGCCCATCCGCTGTGGAAGACAGGAGCAAGGCACAAGAGATAGTTGGGGAGGTTATCGGTGGACCGTCAAATAGTGGCCCCATTAATCTGGTCAGTGGGGAAAGCGAGGAGGTTGAGCCCCCTCCCGATGTAGAAGCAGACTGCGCATCCGAAGAACAACAAGAACAACACACAGAGGCATTCGACAGCTCCCGTAAACTTGCGGCATTGATTTTCTCATGTAGGGGCGGTGTGGGCATGTCCCAAACTGACGTTGACTGTCTTTTGTCACTCCTCAAGAATCATAGATTCGACCCAAGAAATATCGCATTTCGTAACAGTCGTGAGTGTCTGACATGGGCAAGCCGTCAGGCAGAGGCTGCAAGGTGGCAAGAGAACAATCTACGCAGTGATTATTGGCTAGAAGAAGCGCACGTCATTTTGTGGTACCGCGACTGGCGCACAACGTTCGCTGACCTTGTATGTGCTGCACTGCACAACGTTGAAACGGTTTCTTGCCTCGAAATAGCACCTCCCGGGGAGGGGATCAACATATGTGGCTCTCGTACGGGCCAGTTGAGTCACCATGTCCAAACTCTTATCAGAGCGGACAAGGGTGTGGACACGAATGGTAAAACACGTTATGTCATCCCTCTGTCTCTGTATTCAGACAAGACTCATGTAGACGGTCGTCCAAAGCAGTCAGCATATCCTCTGATGATGTCAGTAGCCGAACGCGCATCGGACGCCACACTCCTTGCTCATCTTCCTTTGCTTCAACACCGGCCACGTGACAAGGGTTGGGGTCTGCACTCCACAACGTTTAGAAAACAGAAAGCTGTGATACTGCATAAAGCGTTGTCAATAGTATTGCGGTCCGCAAAGGAGGCATCCCATAACGGCATGATAGTTACAACGGAGCGGTTCGGTGAGATAACAGTCCACCCTTTCGTCATGAACTATATACAGGACTATCGTGAAAGGTGTGCCCTTGCAACTGTGAAATTCGGTGTTTGTCGAACAAGCACAGTGTCCAAAGACGATTTTGATGCCATCGCCGATTTCGCCAACTGCAGGAGATCGCAGACGCTAGACACGCAACTTGCTGCGAACTGCTTCAACAATGGGGACAACGATATTCGTCGTGCCGCAGAGACACGAATGTCAGAATTGAACAAGCATAAGCATGTTCAAGAGAACGGCCTTTGGGGATTCTACAGGGGTCCACATGGTGACGATCCTCAACTAGATTACCATCTCGCTTTGCAACCGGACCGTATGCACACCTTTGAACACGGCATTTTCTTGCATATGATAGATGCATTCAAGGCAGCAGCTTATAAGAAGTTGCCGGATATCGCGCAAAGCGAGATATTGCACGAGATGGATGCGAGGTTGCAGAGCTCAGTGAGAGATGTGTGAGGACATACCCGCAGCTCGTGTTGCCCGTGGCCACAGGTTGTGATTTCTTTTCAAGGGAAGGACGATTTGAAGCGAAGCAAAATCGGTCTGTTATGACAGTTTGCGTGTTTATTCTTTGTGATATCATCCCGCGTGCGACAGTCAAATCCATTTCCGCTTGTTTCATCAAACTCATGGAAATGTACATACACGTGTTTCGTAAGTCGACCCACACTGCGACTTCTCTCGATGTATGCGACGCATTGATAAGTGATTTCATAACGAGTATAAAAACGAAGATGGGAAAATATCAAACCTCGGATTGAAAAATTCCGAAGTTGCACAACCTTATGCATCTGAGAACATGCATAGAGCGATCCGGTGTCCCCGACACCTTCGCAACTGATGTGTGGGAGCATCATCATCAGAGGTTCTGCAAACAGCCATATCTGGCATCGAACAAGCGCAAGGTTGCTTCCCAGATGGCGAATCATGTCCGACGCTCATTGACTTTGCAGGATGAGATGGAGATTGTGAGAAAACGAAGAAACAGGTCGGCAGAAAATTGGTCATCCGTGACAGACTGCATGACCACCAGAAATAATACCCTCGCAGTGCGCGACACAACAACTCTACAACTCCGGTGGTTCCAGATAGATGGTGTGCATTTGCCGGAGGTGGAGGGTATAAGCAACGCGGCGTTGAGAATACTTAACGAGCTTTCCTGCAGAGAGGATTTTCGAGTTGCGCTCACGACGTTCATGAGCGAGAACGGCTGTCAACCTCCATCTGATGACCAAGTGATACACGCTCGAACACACTTGACTATCGCGTGCACATACGACGAGACGCACAGGGACGCAGGCGTTCAAACGGCAAGAGCTTCACCACAGTTCCACGGGAGAGCCGTGCACAGCGATGTTGCAGTGAGAGGTGAGAATGACAACATATGGTATGCATCAGTAGCTATGTTTTTCGTCATGAACACTTGCACAGAGGGTGTTGCAGAGATGCACAGGTGTTGTTTTGTGCAATGGTACAAAGTGGTGGATAGCGAAAGGGAACACACAACAGGTTGTAAGAAGTTGCAATGGGAGAAGGTAAACGGTCATCAACACAGTAGCATCATAACGATTGACACCATCACCGAAACCGTTCACATTGTTCCTCGTTTTTTTAAACCACAGTGGGGCTCGAAGAAGCATGCAAAAGAGAGGGAGGACAATTTTTTGTTGAATAGATATATAGTCTAGAAGTGTACATAGAATTAGAGAAAAAAAAAAAAACCAAAATTTCAAAGGCTGAACGTTTTTCCGAGAATAATCTGTGGTGGGCGCAGTCGCAATTTTATACTACATCATCAGTTCAGCTTTTGTATTTCTTTTACACACAGAGAGAGAGAGAGAGAGAGAGAGAGAGAGAGAGAGAGAGAGAGAGAGAGAGAGAGAGAGAGAGAGAGAGAGAGAAGCGTTTGAACGACAATAGTAGTTTTGTAAAGATGGAGTTCAAATATCGGTGAGACTGTATTTCAGACTGGCACGATTGTGCAAGATGGAACAACACGGTTGTGAGACTGTTTTTTTCACATGGACAAGGTTGTGTTATAGCATTGCATAGCTTCTATGTCATCTTACACAGCAATGTAGACAAAGGTACATCAAAGCAATGTGTATGACGAAGGTAACTTCAGAGTTGACTACTGCGTGCACATGTATGGTGAACGTGGACTTAAGAAGTGGCAGGTGGCACGCACTAGCCAACCTATGTCTATACTTGCGTGCGATAAAAGGTCATCACGTCACAGGAAACCGTCATTCTGCCTCGGAGTACTCTCTCTCTCTCTCTCTCTCTCTCTCTCTCTCTTTCTCTCTCTCTCTCTCTCTCTCTCTCTCTCTCTCTCTCTC